ATATCATTCGACAAAATATGTATATACAAGGTATACATATTTTGTAGAATGTCAAACATTTTGTAGGTAATAGGAATAAAATCTTAATTTTAATTATTCATTAACAGAAATTTTATCCCCTTCAAGATATTCTTCCTTGCTCAGAATGCATTTATGCCAACATTTTTCCTACTGACTGAAACAGTGTTGGAGTCTTGAGAGATTCTTCAGTAGATGTGTTAGGCTCAAAGATTGAAATCGCTCATTAAGTAAAAAAAAAAAACGTGTTGTGATTAACTCAAAACAAGCATAAAATGAAATTCGCGTTACGGCTAACTCAAAACGACCACAAAGCAAAATTCACATAGTGGCTTTTATGATATTTGACCACTACACATTGTGGTAATTAGGAAAAGCCATAACGCGTTCTGAACATTAGCTGATGCAACCACGATATGAAGGATAGGTTGTAACTTTCAATGGGTGCATTGCAAACACTTCTGGAGTTTGTATTGTGTTCATTCTTGACCAATGCTGCCGTTTCTAGGGTAATTACCCTTTTCTAGAGTAATTTCAACCACTCAGAGTAATGTTTCGGGTAGTCTTATATTTAGGTTAAATCTAGGGTAAAACTACCCTGTGTTCTGATGCTATTACTCATCACTCCACAAGTTTTGCTGGAAAAAGTTTTAGCCTAAACCATTCTGTTTTTCCCTATAACTGGAGGATTTTAGAATAGGATAACAGAAGCTAAAGAAATAATGCAGAGTGATGCTAGGTACTGTACATGGGTGTACACTGTACAGTGATACTTCAGTTTTTGTTGATAATCCGTCCGAAAACAATAGGCAAACTCCGAAACTGACGATAACCGAAGTCAACGAAAACAGAGGTATTACTGTATATTACACCAGAGTAGGATTTCGCTTTTCTCAACCTTCATGCCATTGAGCCATTGGCATTATCCATATCAGATGTAAATTAATACCTCTGATAAAGCCTAAAAATCATAAGATATTTTAGTTATTAAAATTTTCAAAAACAGTAAGAATTGTTCTGATTATTTCTTCACAATAATAGTACAGGAATCTGCGTAATAAAATCGTTTATCTTATTATTTTTTTTATTTGAGCTTCAGCTAGAGCTAAGAGAGTTTTCTCAATTTAGGGTAATTTTCTGCAGTTGAAATTGGTTCGATTGTTTTAGTTAGGGTGCCTAATGTTGATAGGGGACATGCAGCTCCCAGAAATGCTTTAGCTGTTGTAATGAGCATTAATCCATCAAGTCTCTATCAGTTAGGAAACAAGGAAAGTCTTCTTAATCAACTTTATGCTCGTAATGAATTTACAATTTCTACAGTAACTTTATTAACATTCAGAACGCACCTCAACTTTATTAACACTTCGCTCAGCATCCATGTCAACATCTGGAAGTAAGCAAGGGTTTATAATGTGTCACTGTAAAAGATACTGTATTGATAAAAATTCAAATGTCTCTCAAAGAACGTAAAATGCATGAATAATTAAATGTTGTTGTAAAGTAACCAAGTTAAATTTCCGTATATGACGAATAATTTTGTTACCTGAGTATATAAGATGATTGAAGATAAATAAATCATAACGAAAAAGAAAGTTTTATTTTCTTATCATTGCTCATTATTAGTTAACATCCAGAACGTGTGGTGGCTTTTAACCATAATAAATCCGTCGCACAGTGGTTTTTAACTTTAGCAGCTGATTTTTATTTTATCGTGTATAGTATATCAAGCACCTACAAGTATATATAATTAGATCTTTAGCACTTTTTAGCAAAACAAAAGAAATAAATGTGTATTTTTCTCCATATACAGTGAGCATCGATTATCTGACTCAATTGGGGACTTGGGTTGGTTGGATAACTGAAAAGAATGAAAAAAATACATTATTAGTATAGTATATTAGTATATTGCTATTAATCTACTTCATGTTGAATTTTCATCGATGTTAAGCCTAACAAAATTTTTTTAAAAATAATAATCGTTGCTATTGTATTGTTAAAAATTATTTTTAAATTATTTTATTGCTCACAAAACAAACAACCACTCATAATTAGAAAATTAAGTCTCGTTTAAATACTGGCCTCCCTTTCATGGTTGAGCCAGTATTGCCAGCTAAAACACGCAAAAATTTAACAAAAATAATATTAACGTAGCCAAGACATAGCCAAATATTGTAGCGCCACATCACTAGCAGATATTTGAAATTTGCTGACTAGAATGGTCGATTAACTGATGTGACGGTTAATCGATGATCTACTATATTTTATTTCTTTGAAATTTTTTTTTAAAGTATGAAAATTAAATTTCTAGGAAAACTTGTAGAACTAATGTTGTTTGGCATTAAAAATTGTAAATAAAAATGTTTTGAGCCTAGAATCCATATTTTAAAGTTACAAACCATTGTGTGTTATATGATCTTGTATCGTGGTTGCATCAGCTAACATTCAGAATGCATTATGGCTTTTCTTAATCACCACAACGCATAGTGGTCAAATATCACGAAAGCCACAACACAAATTTTGCTTTGTGATTGTTTTGAGTTAGCCACAATGCATTGTGGCTGTTTTTACAACTGCCACGAAGCGAAATTTGCATCGTGGCCACTTTGAAACAAACACAATGCGTTGTAATCATTTTTTTCGCTCAATGAGCAATTAACAGAACTTTAACACTCAACTTTACTTTGAGATGTACATCTCCATCCTGCATGATCATTTTAACTAGAAAAAAAAAATGGCACACAGGACAAGAACTGAAAAATGTGGAGAATGTTCATAAATAGTTATGCTACTTTTGGCAAAAATGTCATGAATAATAAATGCTATGTGAGCTGATGTGTTATTGTGATGGAGAAGACATGTTATTTACCCACAAATCTGATTTCACATACCTCACATTTTCTCATAGACACTTCAAGACACTCTGATGGAATGAAAAATTCATTGTCTGATTAGGTAATACAAATGTGTAATGAACAATTCCTTGAATATTAAAAAACACAATCAGTATTTTCTTGATTCTCAATATAGTCTTCATTACTTTATTGCTTTCCAGCTTGTCGTCCATTTTCCATTCAGAGTTTTGTATTTTTAATAAAAAATGCAAATTAGCAGACTTGAAACATCTAATGAGAATTGTGACCATTTCTTGGAAATGAGATCTTTGTGATATTGATTATTAATAATGTGTATTGACTGGAGTATTGGGACTTTTTAAACAACAACAAAATTTTATTGTATATTTTTCAGATTACAAATTCCTCTTTAACAATAAAATCATGAAAAGAACACAAAATAGCTTCTGGTACATATACTCTTGCAGGCAGACAATTGCCTGACAGTTCAAAATCTCTTAGAGAGCCTTCTTAAATAAATCTCCAGTAAATTATCATAACAATTATCACATCATGCATCAAATTTATATACATATATATATAATGAAATCTCAGTGAAGTTGATTCAGTTTTTATTTTTTTGAAGCAAATGTTTTGAAGTGTGCTTGATGAAGATACAGATAAAGGATTGAAAACATTAGTCATTCTAATGATGATAATTGATTGTCATTAATAAACTTTACTTTCACAATTCCTTAGACTCCAGTCTAAGAAATTGTGAAGAATTAGAAATACAGTAGAACCTCCATTATCCGGACCTCTGTTATCCGGATTTTCGATTATCCGGATTGTTCAAAATAAACAAACATTTTACGAATTTGCTGATTTGTACTTGGCGAATTACGATACTGTTTATGTACGTGATGGAGTGCATAACTTTTTTTGTTTCTACAACGTCTCACCCGGCACAGTGGCCGTAAACTCTTAAATATATTTTACGTAGTAATAAAAAACTTGACATACGTATTTATAAATAATTTATATTCAAATCACATCGTTTCTATGACCAAGGGCGGCGTAAGGCATGGACGACGTGGGCCACCGCCTATGCCTCGCGGTCCGAAGGGCCTCGCGCTTCGAAGGTTAATGCATTACTTAAAAGCCGTGAACGCGACGAAAAAATTTTACTCGTCATAAAACGATAAATAGTTTGTCAAATTTTTATTCATAAAAATGTAGTTTAAACTGCTTTTTATTTTATAAAATCCGTCTTATTGCGCCACCAGAGGGCCTTTTAAACAATAGGTAGTTTGTTAGCGTTGATCAGTAGTAGTCCAAATTCGATACGAACGTTTGTTTCTTGAAAATTTGATCACGATTTAAATACAGTATTTACTTTTAATGTTACCGATATGTCATCGAAAAGAAAACGTGTTGTATTATCATTAAAAGACAAATTAAAGTATTTGTTTCGATTATCCGGATTTTTCCTTATCCGGACTACCTTCATCCCCAATTAGTCCGGATAATCGAGGTTCTACTGTAGTTACCACAGTTGTTAGAGTTAGTTATAATACATAGCTGCAAATGAAGTGTTGCCAAATTTAAACAACAGAACAGTTGTTTTAGAACAAGCTACATAAATACAGTAGCATCTGAAAATTCAACTCTTGATAACTACACATTTCCTAAAATTTGCCATGACATTCAAAATAAGTAAATAAATACACACACACAATCTAATTTTTATCTCTTAACACTACGATCATGTAAGTTATCATTCTTCAATGGCAACATTTGATAATAGTATTAATTCCATATGTTAACAGAGAATATAATTGTTTTTCTAAGGTGTCACTGACCTTTCACTGTAGCCTACAATGAAAGGTCATCGGCAAGATTGTATAGTCCAGAATGCAAAAATAATAAATGGTGGTTCCTTTTTTGGGAGGACTTTGTCTTTAGATATTTATTTAAGTAAAATCATTGTTAAGTCTGACCCTACTTGAGATATGACACAATACTTTTTCTCCCCACCCCATTAATGCCAAAATGGCATTAATCTCCCTAATACACAAACCTCCCTGCAAAATTTCAGAAAATTTTGACTAAAGAGTAAGTTTAGAATTCCACAAATCAAAATTATCTTACCTGTTCTTCACTTGAAGTCAGATTAGCAGTCATAATTTCTTTCATAGCTGATGGATCTTCTTTTAAAATTCCATTTGGTGTCATTAACTACTGAAAACAATAACCTGAATTACTAAAAATGACAGTATTACAATATTTTGAAAATAAAACTAATAAACTGAAAAGTATATTGCAATACTATTTTCACTAATACTGTAAAGAGAGTTTAAAGTATTTTTCCTTCTTAAAGAAAATGCAATAGATGCAATTAGATTACAGTTCAGAATTACAGTAAGACTCCGCTTAATGCTGATTCGATATAACGTGGTCTGCTTGAAGCCTAAAAAAAGCTCAAAATTTACACTGATTTAAATTATTGCAGCATTTCATTGATTCATATATATGATTATTTGCAATCACAAACCAATTAGCAAAAAGTGGCAAAAATATGTATTTTCTTTAAATCTATGTTTGTTTGGTGCAATTTTGGAAAAAATATATCATCATCGATGCCATAGGAAATATTGACTTTGCTTGGCAAGAATTAACTGATAAATGCCTGAACGAACTGTGGAAGAAGTTATGGCTAAAGGTATCCAAGAATTCTCAACGAGAAGAGCCTATCGCTGTATCATTACGTTATGTTGACCAAACTCAACCTAATCAACATACAAGGACTAGGAGATATGGACAAGAAGGATATTGAGGAGTTACAGCAGCTTTCTGGTGAGAGCCTTACCAATGTCAACCTTCAAGAACTGGGAGAACAAGAAATTCATGTGGAACTGGAAAAGAGAGATTCTGAAAACGAAGAACCCAAAATGTTTCTCTACAGATTCCCTTAGTAAAAGTTTGGTAAGGTAACTGAAATTGATCAAATTGTAGCAAATGATCCAGATTTTGAAAGGAGTGCAAAAGCAAAATGAGGCATTTTGGATGTGATCTTCTGCTACCGACATTTGCTTAAGAAAAGAAAAAAGTAACAAATGAAACTACAGGACTTTATTGCAAAAAACAAGAATTTCAGAAAAGCCAGGACCGTCCTCACAAAAAGTAAACTTTGCATTTCTGTGTGAATATGTTTGTGTTATTTAACATATATTATTATACAAATTAATATAAAAATAAGTTAAATTTAAAGTAAAATTTGTTTATTTTTGGTCGCGTGTTCCCCTATCCCTATTTACTCTATGTTAAAATGACCTTGATTAATGCTGTTTTGCTTAGCGCTTTATTGTCTAGGAATGTATCCTCCGCATTAAACAGGGTCTTACTGTACTTTTATCACATATGACTTCTTTTAATAATGCTTTTAAAAGCATGTATATATATAAGGGTCACTCAAAGTTTTGCCCCACATTTTTTATTCTGGTTACAAGTGATCAGAAAGAACCAAAATTTGGCATACATTGAATTTCAACTTTCTTACTTTGAACAATAAAGTTTCATTAAATTCTATCAGATAGCATGGGTGCCATCAGTTTTCAAAATGGAGTCTGACAGTGAAGTATATCACCAAAGTCATTGAATTCTAGTGGCTGAGAGAGATACAGTGGAATATTCATAAATGACTAATAAATGTTTAAAGAGACCATACTGTTAATAAAAGTATACTGTAGTTGGACACTAGGAAAAACATACTGTAATAAAACTGGATTAGATTAAGTCGCTCTATCCACCAAACAGTCCAGATGAAAAATGCTATTCAGATAAAATTCAAAGATGACAAGATTATTAAGGATGTATAGATGTGGTTTCAAAAGACTCCACATACCTTTTTCCAACAAAAAATACATTCTCCCATCTCTAGGTGGCAGAAAGCTTTCAGAGACAGATGACTATGTAGGAAAATAATGCTTATAAATAATACACATGACTATTCATATCTTAGTCTTCTGAGTGAGCTCTCTTCATGTAAGATTATTCAGAAGAGCTAAAATTACTCAATATATTATTTGAGTAATTATATTCTACTAACTGTTGTACTGGCAGTTTGGGTTATCTTAAACCATTAAACAGGTTCAAAAACTACATATTTTAATTACAAATAATATGCATAATTAACAAACAACCTACAATAGAACAATAAAATAAAGTACAGTGACAGTAGTTTAAGCTATATATCTACATTTTACATCTATTTTGTAAAACTTATAAAATAATATTAAAATTTTAAATTATATATTAATATATGTAAATAATACTCCTTAATTAAAACTACAAGATGCTTTAATGGAGTATATCAACAACTATTTGAGTTTTACTCATCTCAAAAGTACTAAAAAGCTACATAACAATTATTCATAGACTCCATTAAAGCATCTCTTATAGAACCAATTTGTTTAGATATGGAGTTATAGTTTATTAATGGTATTCCTAAATATTTACAATACTCACTTTCTTAAATAATAGTTTTTGGTGAAAAAATAATTTATTATTTTCTAATTAATGCTTAAATCTAATTGTTGCAATCCTGACTTACATTATTTGAATCTTGTTAGTTTATGTTTAAACATGTACTGTACATTCTTTACAATAAAATAATTCTTTCATAATAATGATAACATTTGATTTATAATTCCTAACATTAAAATCTTGCAGATAAGAAGCAACCTTTAAAACAGCAGTGTTAAAGAAAGCCATTTATTATTTTTAAGAATGTAAAATAATTTATTAATATGTAAAACCTTAAGTGTTAAATCTATATACAGTGGTGCCTCATACAATGTACTTAATCTGTTCCAGGTGCAGGTCCGTTAAGTGAAATGTCCGTTATATGAAACGCATTTTCCCATAGAAATAAATGTTAAAACATATAATTCGTTCCGCAGCATAAAATAACCGTACTGTACCATAAAAAATGAAAATGGAGCAGACACCAATTATACTAGGTAGTCAGATGTGAGGAGGAGGTGGAAGAACACTTTCTTTACATATTCATACAGATACAGACTTTTTACACATTGCAGCGGGTCTTTTTTTTTTATTGTTTTTTAATCAGAGTCAGACTCAGGAGAGGCTACCGGAACTTGCAGTGTCAACTTCTCTTGTTCCATCCTTTGTTTTTTGCCCGCTGGCTTCTTGAAAAACATGACCAAGGTGGTCTGTTTCTCTTTCTTCTTTAACACCTGTCGGAAATGACGGACAAAGGTGTCATCGTAGAGA